GTCCAGCATTCACTGCCATATAGGAGGATTGATATTACATAGCAGTTCAGTACTCTTTTCTTTGTTTCTCTTGCTTCAAGTCTCCTCTTCATCTGTGAGGAAATTGTCCAGCATTCACTGCCATATAGGAGGATTGATATTACATAGCAGTTCATCACTCTTTTCTTTGTTTCTCTTGCTTCAAGTCTCCTCTTCATCTGTGAGGAAATTGTCCAGCATTCACTGCCATATAGGAGGATTGATATTACATAGCAGTTCAGTACTCTTTTCTTTGTTTCTCTTGCTTCAAGTCTCCTCTTCATCTGTGAGGAAATTGTCCAGCATTCACTGCCATATAGGAGGATTGATATTACATAGCAGTTCATCACTTTTTTCTTTGTTTCTCTTGCTTCAAGTCTCCTCTTCATCTGTAAGGAAATTGTCCAGCATTCACTGCCATATAGGAGGATTGATATTACATAGCAGTTCATCACTCTTTTCTTTGTTTCTCTTGCTTCAAGTCTCCTCTTCATCTGTGAGGAAATTGTCCAGCATTCACTGCCATATAGGAGGATTGATATTACATAGCAGTTCAGTACTCTTTTCTTTGTTTCTCTTTCTTCAAGTCTCCTCTTCATCTGTAAGGAAATTGTCCAGCATTCACTGCCATATAGGAGGATTGATATTACATAGCAGTTCATCACTCTTTTCTTTGTTTCTCTTGCTTCAAGTCTCCTCTTCATCTGTGAGGAAATTGTCCAGCATTCACTGCCATATAGGAGGATTGATATTACATAGCAGTTCAGTACTCTTTCTTTGTTTCTCTTGCTTCAAGTCTCCTCTTCATCTGTAAGGAAATTGTCCAGCATTCACTGCCATATAGGAGGATTGATATTACATAGCAGTTCAGCTGTCTTTTCTTTTTGTTTCTCTTGCTTCAAGTCTCCTCTTCATCTGTGAGGAAATTGTCCAGCATTCACTGCCATATAGGAGGATTGATATTACATAGCAGTTCAGCACTCTTTTCTTTGTTTCTCTTGCTTCAAGTCTCCTCTTCATCTGAGGAAATTGTCCAGCATTCACTGCCATATAGGAGGATTGATATTACATAGCAGTTCAGCCCTTTTTTCTTTGTTTCTCTTGCTTCAAGTCTCCTCTTCATCTGTGAGGAAATTGTCCAGCATTCACTGCCATATAGGAGGATTGATATTACATAGCAGTTCAGCTAATCTTTTCTTTGTTTCTCTTGCTTCAAGTCTCCTCTTCATCTGTGAGGAAATTGTCCAGCATTCACTGCCATATAGGAGGATTGATATTACATAGCAGTTCAGCTGTTTTTTTCTTTGTTTCTCTTGCTTCAAGTCTCCTCTTCATCTGTGAGGAAATTGTCCAGCATTCACTGCCATATAGGAGGATTGACATTACATAGCAGTTCAGCCAGTTCTTTTCTTTGTTTCTCTTGCTTCAAGTCTCCTCTTCATCTGTGAGGAAATTGTCCAGCATTCACTGCCATATAGGAGGATTGATATTACATAGCAGTTCAGCACTCTTTTCTTTGTTTCTCTTGCTTCAAGTCTCCTCTTCATCTGTGAGAAATTGTCCAGCATTCACTGCCATATAGGAGGATTGATATTACATAGCAGTTCAGCAATCTTTTTTCTTTGTTTCTCTTGCTTCAAGTCTCCTCTTCATCTGTGAGGAAATTGTCCAGCATTCACTGCCATATAGGAGGATTGATATTACATAGCAGTTCAGCAATCTTTTTCTTTGTTTCTCTTGCTTCAAGTCTCCTCTTCATCTGTGAGGAAATTGTCCAGCATTCACTGCCATATAGGAGGATTGATATTACATAGCAGTTCAGCACTCTTTTCTTTGTTTCTCTTGCTTCAAGTCTCCTCTTCATCTGTGAGGAAATTGTCCAGCATTCACTGCCATATAGGAGGATTGATATTCCATAGCAGTTCAGCACTCTTTTCTTTGTTTCTTTTGCTTCAAGTCTCCTCTTCATCTGTGAGGAAATTGTCCAGCATTCACTGCCATTTAGGAGGATAGATATTACATAGCAGTTCAGCATCTTTTTTTGTTTCTCTTGCTTCAAGTCTCCTCTTCATCTGTGAGGAAATTGTCCAGCATTCACTGCCATATAGGAGGATTGATATTACATAGCAGTTCATCAGTCTTTTCTTTGTTTCTCTTGCTTCAAGTCTCCTCTTCATCTGTGAGGAAATTGTCCAGCATTCACTGCCATATAGGAGGATTGATATTACATAGCAGTTCAGCACTCTTTTCTTTTTGTTTCTCTTGCTTCAAGTCTCCTCTTCATCTGTGAGGAAATTGTCCAGCATTCACTGCCATATAGGAGGATTGATATTCCATAGCAGTTCAGCACTCTTTTCTTTGTTTCTTTTGCTTCAAGTCTCCTCTTCATCTGTGAGGAAATTGTCCAGCATTCACTGCCATTTAAGAGGATAGATATTACATAGCAGTTCAGCACTCTTTTCTTTGTTTCTCTTGCTTCAAGTCTCCTCCTCATCTGTGAGGAAATTGTCCAGCATTCACTGCCATTTAGGAGGATTGATATTACATAGCAGTTCAGCACTCTTTTCTTTGTTTCACTTGCTTCAATTCTCCTCTTCATCTGTGAGGAAATTGTCCAGCATTCACTGCCATTTAGGAGGATTGATATTACATAGCAGTTCAGCAGTCTTTTTCTTTTGTTTCTCTTGCTTCAAGTCTCCTCTTCATCTGTGAGGAAATTGTCCAGCATTCACTGCCATTTAGGAGGATTGATATTACATAGCAGTTCAGCAGTCTTTTCTTTGTTTCTCTTGCTTCAAGTCTCCTCTTCATCTGTGAGGAAATTGTCCAGCATTCACTGCCATTTAGGAGGATTGATATTACATAGCCGTTCAGCTCTCTTTTCTTTGTTTCTCTTGCTTCAAGTCTCCTCTTCATCTGTGAGGAAATTGTCCACTATTCACTGCCATTTAGGAGGATTGATATTACATAGCAGTTCAGCACTCTTTTCTTTGTTTCACTTGCTTCAATTCTCCTCTTCATCTGTGAGGAAATTGTCCAGCATTCACTGCCATTTAGGAGGATTGATATTACATAGCAGTTCAGCAGTCTTTTCTTTGTTTCTCTTGCTTCAAGTCTCCTCTTCATCTGTGAGGAAATTGTCCAGCATTCACTGCCATTTAGGAGGATTGATATTACATAGCAGTTCAGCTGTCTTTTCTTTGTTTCTTTGCTTCAAGTCTCTCTTCATCTGTGATGTCTCCTCTTCATCTGTGAGGAAATTGTCCAGCATTCACTGCCATTTAGGAGGATTGATATTACATAGCAGTTCAGCACTCTTTTCTTTGTTTTCTTGCTTCAAGTCTCCTCTTCATCTCTTTGTTTCACTGCCATATCCTTCATAGCATGTTCAGGACTCCTTTTCTTTGTTTTCTTGCTTCAATCTTCATCTGTAAATTGTCCAGCATTCACTGCCATTTAGGAGGATTGATATTACATAGCAGTTCAGCACTTTTTTCTTTGTTTCTCTTCCAGTCTCCTCATTCACTGTAAGGAAATTGTCCCATTCACTGCCATATAGGATTGATATTACATAGCAGTTCAGCACTCTTTTCTTTGTTTTCTCTTGCTTCAAGTCTCCTCTTCATCTGTGAGTAAATTGTCCAGCATTCACTGCCATTTAGGAGGATTGGTATTACATAGCAGTTCAGCAGTCTTTTCTTTGTTTCTCTTGCTTCATGTCTCCTCTTCATCTGTGAGGAAATTGTCCAGCATTCACTGCCATATAGGAGGATTGATATTACATAGCAGTTCAGCACTCTTTTCTTTGTTTCTCTTGCTTCAAGTCTCCTCTTCATCTGTGAGTAAATTGTCCAGCATTCACTGCCATTTAGGAGGATTGATATTACATAGCAGTTCAGCAGTCTTTTCTTTGTTTCTCTTGCTTCATGTCTCCTCTTCATCTGTGAGGAAATTGTCCAGCATTCACTGCCATTTAGGAGGATTGGTATTACATAGCAGTTCAGCTGTCTTTTCTTTGTTTCTCTTGCTTCATGTCTCCTCTTCATCTGTGAGGAAATTGTCCATCATTCACTGCCATATAGGAGGATTGGTATTACATAGCAGTTCAGCACTCTTTTCTTTGTTTCTCTTGCTTCAAGTCTCCTCTTCATCTGTGAGGAAATTGTCCAGCATTCACTGCCATTTAGGAGGATTGATATTACATTGCAGTTCAGCAGTCTTTTCTTTGTTTCTCTTGCTTCAAGTCTCATCTTCATCTGTGAGGAAATTGTCCAGCATTCACTGCCATATAGGAGGATTGATATTACATAGCAGTTCAGCACTCTTTTCTTTCTTTCTCTTGCTTCAAGTCTCCTCTTCATCTGTGAGGAAATTGTCCAGCATTCACTGCCATATAGGAGGATTGATATTACATAGCAGTTCAGCACTCTTTTCTTTGTTTCTCTTGCTTCAAGTCTCCTCTTCATCTGTGAGGAAATTGTCCAGCATTCACTTCCATATAGGAGGATTGATATTACATAGCAGTTCAGCACTCTTTTCTTTGTTTCTCTTGCTTCAAGTCTCCTCTTCATCTGTGAGGAAATTGTCCATCATTCACTGCCATTTAGGAGGATTGATATTACATTGCAGTTCAGCAGTCTTTTCTTTGTTTCTCTTGCTTCAAGTCTCATCTTCATCTGTGAGGAAATTGTCCAGCATTCACTGCCATATAGGAGGATTGATATTCCATAGCAGTTCAGCACTCTTTTCTTTATTTCTCTTGCTTCAAGTCTCCTCTTCATCTGTGAGGAAATAGTTCAGCATTCACTGCCATATAGGAGGATTGATATTACATAGCAGTTCAGCACTCACTTTTGTTCCTCTCTTAAAACATTTCCCAGATTTTTATATTTTTGTAATTTTTGCTTTTAGTATCTGGAATCGGTAATTTGCATGTTGCATTGTTCCTTTTGCTGAAAACCAGACTGGATTTTGCAATTAATTTAGATAGATAGATAGATAGATAGATAGATAGATAGATAGATGAACACACTGAGATAGATAGATAGATAGATAGATAGATAGATAGATAGATAGATAGATAGATAGATAGATTTGAACTTATTATATAGATAGATAGATAGATAGATAGATAGATAGATAGATAGATAGATATGAACCGACTGGGATAGATAGATAGATAGATAGATAGATAGATAGATAGATAGATAGATAGATATGAACGCACTGAGATAGATAGATAGATAGATAGATAGATAGATAGATAGATAGATATGAACACACTGAGATAGATAGATAGATATATAGATAGATAGATAGATATGAACACACTGAGATAGATAGATAGATAGATAGATACATAGATATTTCTAAATTTATTTCCAAGTTATAAAAATTGTTATCGTACGAAAACATTAGTCGCAAAAATAACGTACAAAAAAAAAAAAAAAAAAAATACCGCTGAAAACCATCGCAGTAATGATAACTTCAGAATTCCAAATCTCAGGATTAAGGGTTCGGATCCGGTCAGGAATGTTTTTAATTTTCTTACGGAGTCGGACAGATTCCAAAATGATATATTGGGCTAGGGTCTCTAGGAGTAAAGTTGAAAAACTGTGACACACTGACACACTGACATTCGCATTTGTTCAAATTTATTGTGTAGGCTGTGTGTATTTGCAATCTTGCTGTTTTAAATAAGATATATTTTTAAGCCGAGTAAAATATCTGAAAACATGTCCTTGTGTATAATACGCAGCAACCTTTTTGCCTTTAAACTTCGTTCAAGATTTATCGTATTATACACAAGAAAATTCGATAATGCATTTTGTCCTCTAAAAGAAATTCATCAGACTAAAATAACGTTCTTATTGATTGAATTCTATGTGGAGGCGGGCGGGGTGCGGGGCATATAAACGAAAATGTCTTCCATCATTATGTGCTGAAAGGAGACACTGAAGAGAGGTTTTAAATTTTAAACTTGTAACAATAATGTTATCAAAAGTTGTCAGATCTTGTTTCTTCCCTTGACTAATATCTGAAAATCAATTTCGGTGAATTTCCTGTCCTTGAGACCAAAGGCGCTCAATGACGCTGATTCACGAACAAATATGGCCGACATAAGAAAAACGAACAAACATGGCCGACATAAGAAAGATGAACAAATATGGCCGACATAAGAAAGATGAACAAATATGGCCGACATAAGAAAAACGACCAAATATGGCCGACATAAGAAAGATGAACAAATATGGTCGACATAAGAAAGACAAACAAATAAGGCCGACATAAGAAAGACGAACAAATATGGCCGACATAAGAAAGACGAACAAATATGGCCGACATAAGAAAAACGACCAAATATGGCCGACATAAGAAAGATGAACAAATATGGTCGACATAAGAAAGACAAACAAATAAGGCCGACATAAGAAAGACGAACAAATATGGCCGACATAAGAAAGACGAACAAATATGGCCGACATAAGAAAGACGAACAAATATGGCCGACATAAGAAATACTTTTTGTAAACAATTGTTATCAAAAACTGCCTACTTTCTGTTTCATTATCTCTTGTGCTAATTGAGCGTTTTTGAAAAATTACCATTTCAAATAAGAGTGTTTGAAGCTGAGTTCAATTTTATGAAAATGTCTACTTGTAGCAGCCCCCTTTTTGCTTTCAGCTTTCGTTCAAGATTTCTCGTACCATATGCAAAAAAATACAGTTAAAATACTATTAAACAATTGTAATGCTCAACCAGAGCAAACCTCACTTTTACGTGCCACGTTAATATCTGGAATGATATTTCAAATTGAAAACCTGAAATTTATCTCCTGTAAGCAGATGAAGTAAAAAGAGTTTGTGTGTCACCTTGCTAAAATTTGTTGTAACATTGAATTAAATTTGTTGTAACATTAATGTTATCAAAAACTTAGCGGACTTTGTCTATTCCCTTGATTCATTTTTTATTGACGCTCTTTCCCAGAGAATAAATATTTGCGACATGTCAAAGCAGCTTACTGTTTGCGTTATTATTATCTACTAGTGTATCTATGCCGTCCAAAATGGCGGCAATTGTTAGACATATTTAATAGTGTGATGTAATGAAACCAAAGTCGAGAAACAATGAATTGAGATTCAATAAAGCGGAGATAAAGAATTCACAATTAGAACAGAGGCCACATAGTAGACAAAGGTATCTGAGTGCCTCACATGAAAAGCTTGAACAAATAAGACTGCAATCTAAAAAATGAAGGAGTTAAGGAACTCATTAATTAAAGGGTTTGGTTTGCTTTGCTTTGTTTTACGGCATATCAACTTCAATAGGTTATTTAATGCCGACAACATTTTTATTTGCAGCTTTCGTTTCGTTTGTTTTCTTTTACGGCATATTAACGTCAATGGGTCATTTAATGCCAACAAGATTTTTATTTTGCTAATATATGTACTGCTGGTAATATATATATATATATATATATATATATATATATATATATATATATATATATATATAAAAAGGCTTAAAAACTAATATTCCATAGACAATCTAATGTTAGAATAAGAGGGAGGGAAAGACGAGGTGGGGGAGAGAGATGGGACGAAGGAAAGTAAAAAGTGGTGTGTGTATCTCACCACGAAATGTATCTTTATGCATTAGACATCAGTCAACATTCATTCTTTTCTCTTATTTAAACCCCTTCCACTCACCTCTCCTAAAATTCTCTCTGTTAAGATTTAATCTCCCTCCTCCTCATACTTACACTCTCTCTAAATTCTGTTTTTATTTCCGGAGTTGTTTTTTCTGTTTTCTTTTTGAATTTGTAGGTCTGATGAATTGGATCGTATTTACGATTCCAATGGAATAAATTATGACCATGGAATATTAGTGTTTAAGCCTTTTTATTATATCCTTACTCTGTCCTAGACATTGAGTTCTACCTGGATTCTTCCTCTTGGAATTTTTTTCTAAAAATATACATGTATGGGTATTTATATATTTTGCATATGTATGTATATTTTCCACTAATATTATATATATATATATATATATATATATATTAAGAAATGGACAAAGTCCGACAATTTATTTATTAAAGACATTTTTATGTTTAACGTTTTTTTTTTATAGATACAAGTATTTAAGTAAATGCTCTTTAAATGTTCTTTGACAGGATTCGAACCTGCATCCTATACGGAACCGTCATTTACGCTGACGTGCCTTATCGATCGGCCACAAAGAAGCGTTCGGTAGACAAGGTCGAATTTACTGCTTATAAACTTCAATCTTCCATGAATCTCGTACATTCATAACTGCTCTGGCGTATCAAATGTAAACAAAGAAACGAATATTTTCTATGAAAATTTCTCGGACATTCAGGCCGGTAAATGTTATTTAATACTGTTTATTATAAACAGAGCATTTACTTAAATACTTGTATCTATAAAAAAAGAACGTTAAGCATAAAAATGTCTTTAATATATATATATTTATATATATATATATATATATATATATTTTTTCAAAAAATGTATTCTTGGTAATATCTTTTTTTTAAATGTATTGCTGCTAATATTTTTTCAAAAATATATTGCTGGTAATAATAATAATATTTTTTTTTTCCTTCAAAACTTCATTACTGATAATTGTTATAAACACCTGCTTACTTTTTTTTCTTTATCTCTTGTGCTAACGGAGCGTTTTTGCAATCTTGCCATTTCAAATACGAGTGCCTTAAGCAGAGTACAGTTTTATGAAAATGTGTACTTGTGGCAGCCCCTTATTTGTCTTAAGTTTTCGTTCAAAATTTCTCGTAATATACGCAAGCAAGTACTGTTAAAAATATTTTTTTAAATATTGCAATGCTCAACCAGAAGAACCTCACTTTTACGTGTCACGTTAATATCTGGAATGACATTTCAAATTGAAAACCTGAAATTAATCTCTTCTAAGCAGATAAAGAAAAAATAGTTTGCGTATTACCTTGCCGATGTTATTTGAAAAAAAAAATGATTACATTTATTCATCAAAGTTATGGATCTGGCTTAATTACATTTCTGGATGTATATTAAATACATTTCGGCTAGAATATTTACGCAATTTCATTGGCTAAATAAATATGACGTAACAGATGCGGCTACATTTGTGACTATAGATCATTGCGAGATTCATTTTCTCCAAGTTGAATTCAATTTTTTTCTCTCTGATTTAAAAATTATTGATTTCCCATTTTAAGTGATTTGGAACTTAAATCAAGTATTAATGAAATATCAAGAAACTTCAGAAATTCAAAATGCCGTATTTTTCAAAGCTTGAAACATTAAAAATAAAACAAAATCCTGCCTAACAGATAGATCTGTGAAGGTAGTTATTAACGGCCAGTCCTCCGAGGCCCTGGTGGTTCAACGCAGGCGTACCAAAGGGGTCACTTCTTGGGCCAATCCTCTTTCTGATTTACATAAATTATCTGCCTAAGAATATATTCCGGTCATTTTTAAACATCTATGCGAAAATACGATGATATACGCGCGCACTTCTAAAACTCTTGACGATCGAGGATTGACATCTGACCTAACTTCCGATCCAGCAGTAACTCCCCAGTGGGGAAAATGTTTGGTTACATCCAATGCATCGAAAACTAAACGGGTTACATTTCATCACCGCTGATCAGACCCCGAACTACAACCCGTCACGATGAAAGGATGTCCGCTTGAGTAGGCAGCGTCCCTTGAGAGGATATTAGGCCTCGAACTCTCACCCGAACTCGTGAGACTCTTATATACGATCTATTGCTAAAGATGTAGGTAAAATGATCGACTCCCTGTACTACTCCAGTAAGTACTTGAATCATCTTGCTATCCTTTATCTTTCTAAGAGCGAAATCAGGCCCGAGATGAAGAACTGGTGCCATATTTAGGCGGGGAGCTGCCCAGTTCTCACTTTCCAGTCTTGATAGAGTACAAAAGTGTCTCTGAGTAGTTGTTGGAGAAGACCAGTTTTTCAACCTCTCTCTCACACAGGCGGGATGTGGCGAGTCTCTCTCTGCTCTATCGCTGCTACCACGGAAAGTGCTCGGACGAACTACATTGCTTCGATCTGCCAGGTCTAACCTTCACGGCTAGGACCCGCCGTGCCACTTCCATCGTATCAAACCATCCACATTCCCTCCGTATTCCATAAGAAAACTACTTCCCTGTGGAACAGACAACTAAGAGGATGCTTCCCCGATCACTACACTCTTAACCTGTTCAAGTCTTCACTTCCTATCCATATAAAGTATGCATTGGTTACATCCAATGCCTCGAAAACCAAACGGGTTACATTTCATCACTGCTGATCAGACCTCGCACTACCACCAGTCACGATGAAAGGATGTTTCAAAGGTTGTCATAACCGGAAGTGATAGAGGGGACAACCTTCGCATGTCTATAAAATTCTTCCGTGGGGTATGACTCAATGGCCTCAGACAAATGGGCCCAGCTCCAAGCCGGAAAATAGGCGAAGGCGGACAACTGGCAAGAGATTACAAGCTTGCCCCCTCTATCACTCCCGGCTATGACAACCTTTGGAACATAACCCTCTACCTCGAGTGGACCCCGGGCCTTGTACCGGGTAAACCGTACTGTAAAAAAATATAAAATAAAACAGTGTTGCAAAACGATTTCTCACACATTTTTAGGTCATGAATCGTTAGATTAGTTTTAAGACAATTTAATGACAAGCGATTCTCAGGAATCTTGTCTCCGGCTCATCTTTGAGTAAATTGAATGACTAGGATTTTTCCTGTCTCCAGCCCACCTTTGAATTGTCAAACATAAAGTTTTGTTAATGTTTTTAGGTAGCCATATAAGTAAGGTCCTTTGAAAAAGTCACCAACCAAAACCTGTTTGGGTAGTCTCCCTTTCCGGTTGGTGGAACGCAAGTGAACGGAAAGGGGTGGTGGGTCTCAGAGCCAGTATCTGTCTCATGAATCGTACAATGAGCGAAGAGGTAGTCAGTTAAAAGATCAGTCAGGCTTTTTTTTTCGTGGCTGGAACTTAGTAAATATTTAGAAAGGAAGTTTGCTTCGTCATAGCAGAAGGAAGACATTGCCGATTACGTGAAAAATCGTTCGTTTTTTGTGACATACAGTGGTCGTTATTAATTAAGTTAAATAAACCAGTATTTAATTACCACCGAAAATAAATACTTAACAAGAACAAAGAAATAACAGTCAACCAAAGATAATTAACCATTTCAGAGAATAAATTGTTAGGAGCGTGGCCCGGTTTAACGACTGGTAAATCCTAAATCAAAAATCAAGTCATTGACGCACAATAATGCACACTAATTCGACTGGATAGTTCCACTCGATAGTCACATAATAATCACACCAGTCAGTAGACTGACAACGCTATTTATACACCAGACAGAAAACTATATTCATAGTGTCATGATCGAACCTCGGTGTCGGTAGTTACTCATTATCTTCCTATATGTCAGTTTTTTTTTAATTTTTTTGCTTTCCAAACCTAACAAATGTCTTGAAAAGCGTTTGTGTTTATTTCTTTTTTGACATCGATCACGGCCATAACCGAAACGAATCTGTGGAATATAGCGAGCGCCAGTGTATTCGCAGCCGACCTTGGATGCCATCACATCTTGTGTCGAATCACATCCTCACAATAGAAAACGGATGAATATTTCTTATTAACGTACAGCAGGCATCCGTTTATCTCGCGAGATAAAGGTAGAGTCCTGTTAGGTCAATGTTCAGTCCTTGGGTGGTGAGGCTGAAGGGGCGTCTCTAGGGCGCAGGCCTTCATAATGCTGTATGGAAGCTGTACACTGACAAGACGACATGCCTCTCCACTCGGGCGTACCGACATAAACCAAAGGATATACAATGTGGGACGGCCTGTCTGCAGGAGTTGCCGGAAAAATGTTGTCAATGGTAGCAGCCTACCGCTTTCAGGGTTTCACTCCCTGTGTTATGTCTGAATTTACTTCCATAGCCGTTTCCGTGTTTGGATATGAGCGCAGGGTAGCAGAGGTTTAAAATCAAATCTTTCCATTCCCTTAGATGGACTGCCTTTTTGGACTGTCGTGTTCCATCTATTCGAATCAGCTGGTGATGAGTCGCCAGTTGTCCGCCTTCGACTATTTTCCGGCTCGGAGCTGGGTCCATTTGTCTGAGGCCAGTGAGCCACGGAAGAATTTTATAGACATGCGAAGCTTGCCCCCACTATCACCCCTGCTATGACAACATTTGGAACATATATAATGTACATATATAAATATTATATACATTACGTGTTTTAGAATCATCCAAAAAATTAACGTTTTTTTTAATATATAAAACGTTAGGCAAACAAAAATACAAGGAAAATTACGAAATCTCTATAAAAGGCAGGATGTTTGTGTGTGTGTGTGTGTGTGTGTGTGTGTGTGTGTGTGTGTGTGTGTGTGTGTGTGTGTAACGAATGCACGGCCGAAATTTTCGACGGATTTGCACCAAAATTTACATGCACATGCTCCAAGTTAGCAGGAAAGCCAAGACCGACATTGCATTTACCAACAACTGACTGGCACGAATATTAACTAGCATGCTAGCATGCAAAAAAAAAAATCGATAGCTGCATTCGTCACAAGTGGGAAGAAATTAAATCTGCATGGCACTTTACTCCAAATGGTTGATTCGCTTGCTTAAACTCAACGTTGATTTTGATTCCTTAGAACTGGGTTTGGGTGTGAAAAAGTATTTCTTGTTAACATTCTTTTTTCATTCGGTTTTTCCAGTTACGAGTCCTTTTTTTAAAGCTGATCGTTTTGTGTTCATTTTGTTTATTTCTTTTTTCGTAACAGATTTAATGTTTAGTATCAAGCTTAGAAAAAATTTGCAGTGTGAGATAGGCAAGAAGTAAGGCATGTAGCAACACCAGTACGGCAAAGGGCACTCCTTTAAAGGCAAGGAAAGGCAAAAATATTTTAAGTCAAGTGATAGCAATTGCTGTATGAGTCGTACAATTTTTGAATCAAGCACGGGCAACGCCGGACCATGCTGCTAGTATTACATAAATAAAAACAAATTTACACTATTTACATATTTGTAACTGTTGTCTTTATCTTTCATGCCATATCCACGTGGCTTCGGCCGTTGTACGCTTCAACGTTCTTCAGGTGATATAGTTTGGAATTTTGAACCGAACACTTTATCTAGAGTTGATTGTTGCAATTCCGCCTATTCCACGAGTCCGGCCTAAATGTCGTGAATCTTTCCATTTCATATCAGCAAAGAACGTTAGCTCGATAAGGCGCAACACGTCACTTATAAGTTATTATTATTATTGATTTTGCTGTTGATGTAGCTGGTTCTGAGGCGCCAGTTGTCAGCCTTCACCCTTTTTCCAGCTGTCAGTTGTCAGAGGCTATTTGAGACGTATGCCACAGAAGCATTTTATACACAGTGGAGGATTGTCCCCACTATCACTGTTCGGCTATGTATGTATATAAAGATTTCATACATTACAGTTTTTAGAATCACCCAAAATAATGTATGTTCTTCAGGTTAAAAAAAATACAGCAAGACAAATTACGAAATAGTACACAAATATAAATATTGAAAAGTTTGTTAATTTTAGAAAAAGATACCAGAAATGAAGATATATATATACGGATTTAAGACTAAAATACTCGGAGATTACGTCATTATTTAAAATACAATAGTTTATACTGGCTTGTTGTCTGCACTAACATCCAAACTACAAACTGTTCAAAAAATAAACAAGAATAGATATTACAAAGTTGATATATATATATAGTAAGGTAAATAAAAACCGAAAGTAAAAATATGAAAAACGATTTTCAGGTTAGTTGGGCAATAACAAATAAATCCTAATACAGAAAAACGTGGCAACTGTGGTAGAAAAGACATAATTATAAACAATACATATAATCCTTGAAATAAATAAAATAATCATAATCTTACTTATTATAAAACGCAAATTGTGAGTGAGTGTGTGTGTGTGTGTGTGTGTGTGTGTGTGTGTGTGTCTGTGTGTGTGTGTGTCTGTACGTTTATATATTGGATCGGATTTCCTACATTTTTCAACCGATTTCAACAAATCTTCACAGAACTACGTAAAATTACCTTGCAGTGGTTCTGACAGCGCCAAAAATTGGAAAAACACAATTGTTTTTGCACGAAATTAATTTGAAAACACGATTAAGAGGCATCACGAGAATGAAAGGGGGACAACTCATATCAAGTAATATAGTTATTATAAAACCCAGGTTGTTTGTGTGTGTGTGTTCGTTTATATATGCGATCGGATTTCCTACATTTTTCAACCGATTTCAACAAAACTTCACTTTTTTTTGGCAGGTAGTGTTTCTTATTGTCTTGCACCCTTTTTTTTTATTTTTACATTCAGAATGCTTTAAAAATTCCATTTAGAAGACAATTATTTATAATAAAATTCTATTCAATCGGTAGACTCATAACGATTGAAAACAATTTTTTTGTTTGAGTTTGGGTTTGACCAATTCGTAAAAAAATCCCAAAAAAACAAAAAAAAATTAATTAAGACATGCGTGTTCATCAACCTTAAACAATAATCTCAGTCAATTTTATTTTTCAGTCTTTATGATCTATCTCTTACTGTTACATCCCTGGGCAACGCCGGGCTCTCCTGCTATTATATATATGTATATATAGTAAGTAAATAAAAGTAAAACTTTACGTGAAGTAAATACAGAAATTTAAGAAAAATAAAAAGAAAGGGAAGCAAAAAGAAAAAGAAAGAGAAAAAAAGCAAAAAAATGAAAGAGAAAAAGAAGAAAAGGAAAGAGAAAAAAGAAAAAGAAAGAAAGAAAAAAGAAAAAGAAAGAACGAGAAAAAGAAAGAAAGATAAAAAGAAAGAAAGGAAATGAAAAAAGAAAGAGAAAACGGCCAAAGAATGGAAGAGAAAAAGAAGAAAAAGAAAAAGAAAAAATAAAGAGAAAAAAAGAGAAAAAAGAAAAAGAAAAAAAGAGAAAAAATAAAAAGAAAGAAAGAGAAAAAATAAAAAGAAAGAAATATAGAAAAAAGAAAGAAAGAAAGGAAAAGAATAAAGAAAGAATGAAGGAAAGAAAGAAAAAAGAAAGGGGGAGAGATATATACGATTATCTTTTTATAGTTATTTGTAGAAGTTGGTCACAATTAAGATCTATTACCGCCAATTATGAACATTTTTTTTATAAAAAAGAGAGATTTATCTTATTTTTAAATATCAATTTTAAAAGCTAAACTATTTTGGTTAATAAGAAAACAAAATAAAAAGCAAGTGATGACGGCAAAATATAGTTCCTCTCAACTCCTTTCGACAATATTTTGATAATAATTGTTTTTATGAGCCTAACATAATTCTATTTAGAAATGATATCTTCCCTAAGTGCTTGCCTTCTTTTTCTTTTCAATCTTGTATTCTCTATCATGATTAAATTTGATGTCATATAATAAAGATAAATTTCTTTTAAATTTCCCATAAGAGTAAGTTTCGTGTTTTATCATTTGCGCCAATTAAATATTTGTGAAAGAAATGATTATGCTTTAACATTCTCTCTTCACATTTATTCCTAATAAATCCTTTTAAGTCAACTCAGATGTGGTTCTACAGAAGGATACTGAGAATAGGATAGGCGGTTCAAGCGAGGAAGAGGGACAGAAATGTAATTCCCTGTGGAGTGTCATAAAAGACGATGGGAAATATGTTTCTTATATCATTGTATTAAGAAAGAGGAACATTTAATTAGAAACAAAGAAGAGAGTGCTGAACGGTTATGTAATATCAATCCTCCTATATGGCAGTGAATACTGGACAATTTCCTCATAGATGAAGAGGAGACTTGAAGCAAGAGAAACAAAGAAAAGAGTGTTGAACTGCTATGTAATATCAATCCTCCTATATGGCAGTGAATGATGGACAATTTCCTCACAGATGAAGAGGAGACTTGAAGCAAGAGAAACAAAGAAAAGAGTGCTGAACTGCTATGTAATATCAATCCTCCTATATGGCAGTGAATGCAGGACAATTTCCTCACATATGAAGTGGAAACTTCAGCTAACAGAGACGAGGTTCTACACAAGGATGCTGTGAATTTGATGGATGGAACATATGAACAACGGGGAAAGTTAAAGGAAAATAATATGAAAAAAAGAATCAGAAAAAGAAATGTTTTTATTTCTGGTATGAGTTATTGTAAATACCGAATGCGATGGATAAATTGTGGTCTAAATGAGGCAAAAATGAAAAAAAAAACACTGACATCTCATTTTAACAGATATATTTAACAAAATTACATATCAATATCTTGAAATTACTAAAGTGTAAATTTATTTAATAAAATCGCCTTTGCCTTCAACCACAGCATCCAGATAACTTCGAAATCACCTACAACTCTTCTGGATGATCTCATGTTGAAGTTGGGGAATGCCGTCATAATCCTTGCCTTCAGTTAATCTTTGGTGTTACAAGGGGTTTTATTGGTCTCTTGTACAACCTGCAGCCCACACATAATAATCAAGTGGGTTGCAGTGTGATGAGTTATTGAATAAATTTAAGGAGTTATATAGTGTTAGAAATGTTCTGACAGCTATGACTAGTTTCTTCTGCTTGTGTGGTACGGTACCGATAATTTACCCCCCATACATATACATACATACATATATTATTATAGGATATTACATTAGAACATGTAAAATCGCTACATAAATGCACTCATGTTTCGATGGATATCATTGCGTCTCATCAGGTGGTAGTAAATGAGGATTATTACTATTTTTTTATTTTATCTTACAAAGTCTTTTCCCGCGATAAAAGAAGAAAAAAAATAAGAAGAGCAAGAAAGAAAGACACAAGATATTCTCTTCTACAGAGAAAAGGAAGAGGAAAGAAAAATAATAAAATATAAGGAAAATATAGAATGTAAAGTAGCCAGAAATTTTATATTGATAATCAGTTCAACCAATCAAAACGGTCTATATTAAGTAAGGTGTCATGAAACACAGATTTAAAATTGCAACGGCTACATTTGCAATATTTGAAACAGTATCTTTGCTATAATGTTCACGACGAATGGTTGACACTTTCACTGAGTAAACAACGTAATTTAACAAAAATTATTCTATAGTATCTAAATATGACTCTTTAAGAAATAAAAGAAGAAAAAGTCAAGAAAAATATTTAACAAAATAACGAAAATTAAAACAAAATATTTAAATAAATGAAGTAAACAAAACTTTTAAATATATAGATTATGTAAAATAATAAATATATACATTATACTCAATGGAATGCAACCGTTAACCAAAGCGTTTCATATAGGGTATTAATAAAACAAAACAATAGATAATGTTAAAACGCAGGCCAAACCTATATACATCTAGATAAAATATTCCCAGTAATGTTAGAGGAATAACGTACAAACTACACTACATCTAAAAAATGTAACTTACTAAGGAGAAGTTTAAAATATTTACCACAAGGTTATTCAATATAAAAGAAGTGATTGTCATATTTTAAAGATTAGCAAGATTGCAGGGTCAAAGGTGAAATATGTTTACAACTGACAGTTAGTTCGAAGATTTCATTTAATAAATTGCCCCTATTTAAAAATCTGCATTTTCTCCTGAAAGACAAAAAACAAGGTTCATATAAGGATCTACATATTCTTGCCAGTTTTAAAATTTTCCACTTAACCTTAGGGGCCTTATTTTCATCTTTCAACTTCCAAAAATATTTTGAAAGTCAAGTAGTATTTCTATAAGTAGCATTAGTAAAAGAGGATATGTGCTTATACCAACGATCTTTGAAAGAAAGAAATCTTTTTAGTTTTCGGATTTACTATTGTCGTGATAGAACACATATACACAAGGGATTCAGTTAAGCATTTGTTAGATAATGGGCATTGGTTAGGATTCCTACAATTACATTGGTTGCTGTCCTTAACAATATTTGCATTAGTATTAGCATTATGGTTAAAATTATTAAATTGGTTAAGTGTTCTATTATTATGCAACGCTATTATTTTCTCAAGATTATTAGTACAACTATAGCTAAGCTTTAATGTATTACTATTAAAAGTTTTACAAAGGAGATTGCTTTTCGGAAAATGTTTGTCAATTAATTTTAGGAACTTATAGCCTAACTTTGTTCTAACTAATTGGTTAAATGGAGGTGTGTACCATATGATCTTCCAGTTTTTAATTTTTTTCTTTGAACTACCATCGTATTCTTTAAACTGAATTTCAGAGAATTTATACCCATTATTCCTAAGATCTTTATTATACACACTTCTATATTTTTCATACACCTCTTTGTTAGAAGAGTGCTAATCCGACGTTCTACAGAGGAAGGATTATGTCGGATTATAGACGGTGGGTGATTGGAACTAGGATGGATATAGATCGGATTGGCATTGATCTTCATATAAGGCTGAAAATTTTCATAGACTAGATCCAATGTTACAACTAGAAAATCAAATTGTTTCCTATTAGTACTTATTTTCACTTTAAAATCTAAACTTTTAAATTCCCTGGGAGTCTGTCTATATTTCTGAGATGAGGTATTCTGTACAGTATTTACATTAGTCGGACTATTGTCCTCATTTTTGTCGCCATATTTGTCACAACGTTTCGGCCGTTGTACGCTCCGGCCTTCTTCAGGTAGTTGGAATTTCGAACTGAACCCTTTATTTCGATCAATGGGGTAGACTGTTCTAGTTCCGCGTGCCATGTTTGATGGATGTCAGTTATCAGTTATCTCCTGCTAATTTTTCCATCTGAAAGTTCTCCACTGCCTTAACCAGGAATTGAACTCGCCTTCTTTGGGTCTGTCACTGGATCTAACCAACGCCTTTATCCACTAAATTCCCTATGTATCATTTTTCTCAGTTTATCAACTTTAATTCTCGTAAAGTTTCTTTTTTTAACAGTCATGAGACCATCACCCCTATACAGACCTATACTATCCAGAGTAATCGCTTATCGAGTTATATGACATATAAACCAACCAAATCAGAAGAAATCGCAGAATCCAACGATCCCATAGAAATGTCGAAGTTATTGTCTTTATTGTGGATGATGACAGATATCCTACAGTTCATATTAATGTATATCTCTTCAATTGAGATATTGGAATAAACTTTGACAAATTCTAATGTTATTGTAAAGAGATCTTTGGATATTGAATGGTAGAAGTCAAGTATATCAAACAGGATGATAATGCAGTTGTTTTTGTTGTCGAAGCTTTTAAACCAGTTAATAATTTCCGTAATGCCGATCCATTAAATAAGACCAAGGAGATTTTTAATCTGTTTATTAACGCGCTCTGAGATAACTTCGCTTATCCCTCTAACTTCCAATCTGGTGGGATTTATAATTCTTGTAGAAAATTTGATCATGAACTACGGTTTGTGATCTTTAAATAGTACAGAGGATTCCTTTGTACAAAGTTTGCCAACCCTATTGTTAATTTTTAGTTTATCGGTAAAGAAGAACACATAACATAGTGGATCAAGAAGACATGGCACAGTGGATAACGGCGTTAGTTAGAACCAGTGACAGGACCCAAAGAGAGTGAGTTCAATATCAGGTTAAGGCGGTGGAGAACTTGGAGAGGGGAATTAACAGGAGATAACTGATAACTAACATCCATTAGACATGTCACGTGGAACTAGAACAGTCTACCCCAGCGATCGAAATAAAGGGTTTAGTTCGACATCCCAACCACCTGAAGAAGGCCGGAGCGTACAACGACCGAAACAAAGATGAGGACGATAGTCTGAATAATGTAGTGTACATAATAATCTCAGAAATTGATGTAATGAATATGCATACAGCTGGTTCCCTGTCTCAGTAATATGATTGGCTGGTGTCAGCCATAAGTACAGACTGATGTGGAGATACAGGGAGTACGCCTATTGTCTTCGCCTATTGCCTACGCCTATTGCCTACCACTACGACGAGGACCAGTCCATTACGGTTACCTGCTAGATCGTCCTACTCGGCTACGATACTCAGTCACCCCCCCTCACGAGGGTGTCATGTGGCACAAGGCCTTTTTATTGTCCTACTCGGCTACAGTAGTCCAAAACCACTTTGCTACTTCGAACAAATATATCCCTTTCCGGGACTTTTCAGAAATATCGACAGATAGCAAACACTCATCTAACAAAGAGATGTTTGAGAAATATGGAAATGTGTATAATAAAGTTCTTAGGAATAGTGGGTAAAACTCCTCTGAAATTAGTTTAGAGAACGTGATTAAAATTCAAAGAAAAGAAATAAATAGGAAGATCATATGGTACACACCTCAATTTAATCAATTAGTTCCTACAAAGTTAGGCCATAAGTTTTTTAAAATTAATTGACAAACATTTTCTCACTTGTTGAAAGGACACTGCACATGAAGGAAATCCCTTCACGTCGTGCTCGATCATGGCTCCCCACAACTTCCTCTCCGTTGTAGCTCGAACTAACCTTTGAATCTTTTTCCATCCGTCAACCACGATTGTAGCATTTTTATATATTTTAGAAATTCTTTTAAATAATTTAAAGGCCCCCTACAGAAACAGAGAGAAGAATCCAAGCGTTTGAGAACACATCCATGAGAAAACTCCTTGGCATCTTCTGTTGGGTACGTAAAACCAATGAGATTGTGCGGAAGAAGGTTGAAAATTTTGTGGGCCAATAGGAACCTCTTTTCGCCAATGTCAAACGAAAAGAAATGACGTGGTTTTTGTATTGCAAGTAATATTTTTTCAAAAATTTATTGATGATAATAATCTTTTACGAAAATGTATTGCTGGTATTAAAACATTTATTTATACTTTCTGTTATGGGATCTTACCCATAATAATAATAATGGACTATTCCATACTTAATAAATACTGCGCCTCAGGAGTAGGCAATGAGTCCGTCGCTCAACTCTTGAACGACAGATTGGTTGAACTCTCTGCCTTCGGGCGGGGAGGAACCCGAACGAGGCTACGCCGAGGGGCGGAGTCTCGTTCGGGTAGGTAAACCGACCCTGAACCCGTTTATACGGGTTCAAAGGGCATATTTTTGGCAGAGCCGACGGGCCCTGAGAACCCACGTTAAAAAGGCCTTGTACCACATGACGCCCTCGTGGGGGGGTGACTGAATATCGTCAATCGCTCAAGTCTTGAACGACAGATCGGTTAAACTCTTTGCCTTCGGGCGGGGAGGAACCCGAGAGAGGCTACGCTGAGGGGCGGATTCTCTTTCGGGGAGGTAAACCGATCCTGAACCCGTTTATACGGGTTCAATGGGCATATTTTTGGTCGATCCCACGGGCTCGGAGAACTCATGTTAAAAAGGCCTTGTGCCACATGACGCCTTCGTGGGCGGATGACTGAATATCGTCAGTAGTTCAAGTCGAGTCAAGAGTCGAGTCAGAGGCAGTCCGAAACAGAGTCGCGTTCAGTCAATTACTGCAAGACATTGGAATAGTGATACTGGTCGAGACTACATTGTTCTCTCTACTAAACCTGATTGTTCATACTAACACTTCTACTTCTCTGTATATATTCCTGTTTGTAATATATCTGTGTTATTCCATGCCTGTGTTCGAGTTCTTCTTTACTGGTTCTACCTTGGACTCTCACCGTGGTACAAGGAAGCGGACCATAGCACTTTCATAGTGTTTTGACCCAAGATTGGTGGGGGGATATTTTCCCGTAGCTGGGACCTTAACAGGTGCTACGACCCCTGATCAGAGGCGTTTCTGTTGGATGTAGTTTATCGACTTACTCAGGACGCGGATAAAGTTTATCGTCATACCCAGGACGGAAAAGGACTCTTTGAAGAAATCTTGCACTTACAACGCACAAACTAGTCCCTCAGGAGCAAGTGCTAGATCAGTAAGAACTAGGGATAAAGTAACATTTCTCACTTTCCAACCTCAGCTACAAGGTTCAAGTTGGCAATGACCTAAACTCTTCGAAATCATAGCTTGCAGATGGACACGGAGACTGTGGAACAAAGCTGACCGTTCAGTTGGAAGCAGTCTTTCAGGCTGTAACTTCAACGATGATGCGGCATATGTAACCGTTACGCCAAAAAGGACACGCTGGGACAGGGTATTCGTTTCTTGTACAGGGCAGTCGTCTCTCGTCGTCCTCGTCGGCTCCCTACTCCCAAAGCCTTCAGGCACACTCATTTTATAGACCAAGACGAAGCAGCCGGGGGCGTTTTCGGGCATGATATCGCGTATCTTGCTCACGACAATCACACTCCTCCCTGATCTGAGGATCACACATATGGCAGTGCGGTGCGGGTTATTCTATCCTGCTACTTTGTCTCAGTGGAGCGGGCTTGGCTATGTCCTCAATTCTACAACCCTCTGCCATATCGTTGAGTTGATCTCGTTCGAGGATGCCACTTGCACGTTCCGCTGAAGTCGAGTCTACCTTCATCTGCCCCTCATACACCATAGAGAAAAGGTAAAAAAAGGATAGAAAAGATAAAAGAGAGAAAAAAGAGAAAGAGAAAAAGAGAAGAAAGAGAAAGAGAAAAAGAGAGAGAAAAGAAAAGATAAAAAAGTGTAACCGTCACACCAAAAAGGACCCGCTGGAACAGGGCAGTCGTCTCTCGGACAGGTGAGTTGTCTCTTGTACAGGGCAGTGGTCTCTTGTACAGGGCAGTGGTCTCTTGTACAGGGCTGTGGTCTCTTGTACAGGGCTGTGGTCTCTTGTAAAGAGCAGTCGACTCTCGTGCAGGGTAGTCGTCTCTCGTACAGGGCAGTTGTCTCTTGTAAAGGGCAGTTGTCTCTTATAAAGAGCAGTCGACTCTCGTACAGGGTAGTCGACTCTCGTACAGGGCAGTCGTCTCTTGTACAGGGCAGTCAACTCTCGTACAGGGCAGTTGTCTCTCGGTGCCCTTGTCGGTTCCCTCAGCCCCCATTGATAAAGTTTTCAGACATCCTCATTTTATAGATCATGACGAAGCAGCCGATTGGTTGAGTGAGAGAGCTTTACATATGCGTAGGCGCACTCCGCCAATTCTCCCTTCCTCCAACTGCTCCGCGACACCATACGCATACAATACGTGGGCGTTTTTGGGAATGATGTCGCGTACCTTGCTCACGACAATAACAGCATACTCCATACACGTGATGTACCTGAGCGGGTCCAATGTATCGTCTGGTTTTCCTCCATACATCTTGACAAAAAATCTGCAACATCACAGATGCAACTTGGTCATGGGAAGCAATTTGCTTCTCTTTGCTGACGATCAAAAATGATGCTTGATGACTTGCTTTTGCATAGCTCAGGTACTATGCAACCACTTCGCTGTATGTTACCGTAGGCAACCATTTCACTCGGTGGACTAAAGTCCCCACCCCCGTCTAAAATAGACATTGTATCAGTTGGTGGCTGAGATTCAGGTATGTCAGTGATGAGATACCTAATTAGTAGAACTTGCATCAGTAAATTGTTATCAGCTAAAAAAAATATTTTCTGGCTTTAAATGACCGGCAAAAGGTTGATAAGCCGTAAAACACAAATCAGTTAATACTTATTATACTATTCAAAAGCATGGAATTTGCATCTATCTATATATAAATATACTATCTATCTACCTATATTTATTTCCAAGTATGTTCATATCTACCTATCTATCTATCTATCTATCTGAGTATGTTCATATCGGTCTATATATATATATATATATATATATATATATATATATATATATATATATATATATGGACTCTCCCGTCGGTTTCGACGTATGAGGATCTGACAGCTTAATTGATTCAGTTATGAAATTTTGTGCGATAATCTTAAGTGGCACTTAAGACCCGCTAGTGATTTACAAAGGACGCCACATATGCAGCAAGAGGAAGGATAGTGGGATGAGATCACTGTTAGATTGGTTGACCTTTTAGATCGTGCTCTCGCTTCTTGAAGATGATTCAGACAAGAAGATTGAAAACTGCTGAGTCTCTTAAAACACGTTGATCTCCACCATTCTATCCGCTCCACGGCTAAGCGCAATATATATATATATTAAACTAACTATTCTTTCTTCATTATCTATCTCTCTGTCTCAGAATATTTCATATCTATCTATCTATCTATCTTATATATATATATATATATATATATATATATATATATATATATATATATAATACGAACTAAAAAATACATTTTGTTAATGATCATTTTCACCTTGTAAATTGAAATTAAACTGAGAAGGATTTTTCAAACCAGTCGATGGATGATAAATTATTGAAATAAAAGCTTTTATTTCAATAATTTATCATCAATTGATTGGTTTTAAAATTACAAGATAAAAATGATCATTAACCTAATGTAATGTTAATTCCTATTGTATAAAATATGTTGCTCAGTTTAATTAATCGTTGAGTTCTATGTTTGAATCAGTTTTAATATTTAATATTTTATATTGTATTACTAGGATTCACTTGGATTATATACCAACAGATTATTAGTCTATGTATCTATCTATCTATATATATATATATAAAAATTGCTACTCTTTCTCTTCATATCTATCTCTCTCTCTCTCTCTATATATATATATATATATATCAAAATTGCTATTCTTTCTCTTCATAACTCTCTATCTCAATATGTTCATATATCTATCTATCTATCTATCTATCTATCTATCTATCTCTCTCTCTCTCTCTCTCTCTCTCTATATATATATATATATATATATATATATATATATATATATATATATATATATATATGCACATTCATTGAACACGAAAGACAAGGTGCTATGATGTAGTTTTTTATACAATTTCTCATGTGATGTAATTTTTTTGTTTTTGGATGATAGATTATATAAAAACTGCCCAATTGTTCATTTTATCCGAGCGCTTTCGGCTATACATCTCGCCATTCTCAAGGTTGAAATATATTAACTGTTATAACGAAATACATTGTTGTATTTATGTATTTATATAATGTTTTCATTGTCAAAACACGGTCAAGATATTGTGTCCATGTTCATAGTTTATATTATTGAATGTTGGTTTTATGTTTTTATTGATAATGAATGAAAATTAAAAACAAGACGAAACTAGAATTAAGAATATTATTTTAAAAGATGCACAATACCAGCTGACAATAGTGGAATTATTTATTACAAAAAATTTAAAGCCTATAACCTTATAGTAAAAAGTAATAATTCACCTCCTAGAACAAAATTAAATATGGCAAATATTATTTATGAATTTAAATGCCCATTAAGGAATTGTATTCCGGATAAATCAAAATTCGTAAATAATTATATAGGTCACACTACAACATGTTTGACATGAAGACTGACACTAATCTTTTCTGACCATAGCTCAATTAGGTCTCATTTAAATACTCATGGAGACCTACTGGACACTATTTGTACATACTTGTTGACAGTACAAATATAATAACATCATCTACAAGCAAAAAAAGATAAACATAATGGAAGCCTTATTAATAAAAACAAAACACCAACATTTAATAATATTAAGTATGAACATGGACACAATATATTGACCGTGTTTTGAAAATTAAAACATTATATACATACATACATACAACAATCTCTTTCTTGGTAAAAGTTAATATAATCCAACCTACAAAATATATGTGTGTGTGTATTTAGGGAGCAATCCTTCTTCCATGTACATTTCATTGAATATATATATATATATATATATATATATATATATATATATATATATATATATATGTGTGTGTGTGTGTGTGTGTACACACATGCTCATTTCATTGAATATGACAGACAAGGTGTTGCAGTTTTTGGGTATGTTTTTTTACTAGTGAGCCAGTCAAAATGAGCTGACTCATTTTTATAGTTCACCAATAGAAGAGTTAACCAATCAGAAGGCTCAAAATACTCAATGCGACGTGTATAAAGTCAGCCATTTTGTTTTTTCTCCCCAAAATATCTCCATTGTCAACCTGATATCGAAGACTTAAAGAATTACTTAACATGGTCAACACAAGGTGCTTTGATTTATTTTTTATACAATTTCTAATGTGATCTAATATTGGTAAATTATATAAAAACTGCCCAATTGTTCTTTTTATTCGAGAACTTTAAGCTATAGATGTAGCCATTTTGAAAGGTCATAGTTGATATTATTATTGAGTGTTGTTTTTTTTTGTTTTTATTAATAAGGCTTCCATTATTTTAAACATTTTTTTTGCATGTAGATGATGCTAATATATATGTATATATTGTGACGTATTTCTGATTTCTGATATAGGCATAAGGCTAAAAAGCGAAAAAAATCTCAAATCCCAAATCGAATGTTAGTTAAATAAATATAAAAATAAATAAAATACAATGCTTTTAACTTCCGGTCGAATAGGTTCTATGATCAGTCTTTCCCGCCTTTTCTCTTCCGTTTCTTTCCGTCTTTCCTTCTCTTAACCTCTCTTGCCAAAGGGTTCATTAACAGTGAGGCGAAGCGATCCAACCCGGGGATGACCTGCTTCCAAAATCACGCGGCCATCGGGCGATTGACCATGAATTAACCCCAGGCACCATCAAACTGCACTGCTGCGATCACGTGATCAGATCCTACAGAAGGCTGTTTGGATATTTGGCCATCACGCAAACACATCGTGATTTGCACTTCATTCTCCTGCGTACACGTTCAATGATGATGGGAAAACTATATCACGAAATTTGGAGACAGAAAAAAAAAAGGGGGCAAGTTCATATCTGACCGGCGTCAGATGAAAATCGGCGAGCCTACCAGAATAAAGAAAACAAAAAAGTCTGTCTATTATATAAGCCGAATTGATATATATATATATATAAGTAAAGTAACGAAAATCTTGGTAACCCGTATGGATATTCCGAAGAAGGATAAAATCCAGAGAGCTCAATGTTAAGTCAGAGCGAATAAATTAATTTAAAGAATTAATTTAATTTAAAGAAAAACAGAGCATTTTAAGGCTCCATTTGTTATAATTTATTTCAACAGAGAATTTATATTTTTCTCTGGAGCTTCAGATTTCACTTTCAAAGGTGAAACGAAAAAAAAAGTGAAAGTGAAGTCTGAAGATCCAGAATAAAATAAAAATTTCTGGTGAAATAAATTATAATAAATGGAGCCTCGATGTGGTCTTCTTTTTCTTTTAAATATATATATATATATATATATATATATATATATATATATATATATATATATATATGTGTGTGTGTGTGTGTGTGTGTGTGTGTGTAAGCAAATATATGGATATAGATCCGACAGTATGAAGAAAAAATATACTGAAAAAAAACAAACAAAAATACTAATATGCGATTATGCTGTTTTAATGCTTAATGTCAATGTCGGACGTTTCGGTCTTATCCTGTTCATATCTATCTATCTATCTATCTATCTATTTATCTATCTATCTGTGTGTGTTTCAATATCTATTTATCTATTCTGTCTCTTCATATCTGTTTCAGTATGTTCATATCTATCTCAGTATGTTCATATCTCTCTCTGTTTCTATATATATATATATAATATAATATATATACACACAAAAAATATATATATATATATCTATATCTATATATATATATATATAGATATGAAACTAACTATTTTCTCTTCATATCTATCTCACTATGTTTATATATATCTCTCTCGGTATGTTCATATCATATATATATATATATATATATATATATATATATATATATATATAATGAGAAGCCACGTATACTTTCTTAATATGTATATATAGAAAAAGTTTCAAATTAAAAAATTATAATGTTTTATTTTATGAAAGTATTTATTTATTTATATATAGCGTCCTTCGCGAGACTCAATTTTCACGTGATACTTTAACAAACAGTAATTTTAATTTATTCATAATAAAATAGTTATTTTGATGAAAATTGAGGACAATTTGAAATATCAAATATATATATAAATAAATAAAAATAAAATAAAACATTATAATTTTCAATTTGAAACTTTTTATATATATATATATATATATATATATATATCTCACACTAACTATTCTTTCTCTTTTTCTCTCTCTCCTTCTCTCTCAATATATATATATATATATATATATAATTATCTATTATTTCTGATCATATCGATTTATGTATCAGTCTCAGTATGCTCACGTGTGCCTATTTCAGTATCTTCATATCTATCTCCCTCAATCTATTCACATAAGTCTGTCTATCTGTGGATGTGGGGTTGATGTAATGGATAATCGCTTGGAATGTGTCATCGGAGAGCGAGTTCGAATTCCACTCTGGTGTACCTTGCATTCTTTTTATCTCCATTTTACACGGTATTATCTATTCATCATTTGTTCCTGCATTATGAGACGTAATTAACAAACTAACAACTCTCTGCCTACGCAAACACTTAACGTTTGGAACCCGAACGAATGTCATCTTGCATTACATTATGAATTGCATTGCTAGCTATACGTTTTTATTTTTAAATTAGCTTTGCGAACTTTGGCCTAAATAGGAAAGAATGTCAATTCAAAGTTTAATAGCATTGGGGATTCAGATGGAGCCAAATCTATTTTAGAGCAGTGGCAAATTAAAGAACACAAGTTTCAAGTCTATAATCGAAACATTTGCGTGAGATGTATAGCATTTCAGTTCTAAATTGAGCTTTAAAATCTCATACATCGAAATCGCTGGGAGAATTTATATATATATATATATATATATATATATATATAATTCAACTTGCATGGGGCCGTTTTCGAACTATTATTAAACGTTTATCGATTAATCAAATTCACGCACCCCCGTAATCCCTTCAGTCTGTTTATATCGAGCTAACTGAATATGTGAGTATGTTATTTATATATATATATATATATATATATATATATATATATATATATATATATATATATATATATATATATATATGTATATATTGGTTTGGTTTGTTTTACGGCATATCAACCTCAGTGGGTTATTTAATGCCGGCAACTTTTTTTTCCAGATAATATTTGTGTTTTGTCAAAATTTTTATACTAATATATATATATATATTATAATAATAAAACGAAAGAACATCAAGATACATAATCCGGTGTTCTTATTGATATTTTTATTTTTACAAAACAGTGCTCAATTTAAAATTTACAGAGGAAAAATATTATAAATTAGCGATTTAAAATATGGTTTCTTCGCTACACAAGAATTACCAAGTTTCAAAAGCCGAAGCCAAAATCTTCAAATTTAATTTAATTATATAATTAAATTAAACGCATTAATGCTGTTTCATTATATAATTAATAATTATGTTTAATTATATAATTAAATTTGAAGTTTTTAACTTCGGTTTTTGAAACATGGTAATTCCTGTGTACCGAAGAAACCATATCTTAAATCAGTTAATTTATATATATATAATAATATATAATAATAATATATATATATATATATATATATATATATATATATATATATATATACCGTGTTGTGCAAAAGTAATTGAACTCCTAAGGCAGTATTAAAGAAATTGTCTCTTTTTTCCAGAAAAATAAGTAAATCTTAATTAAACTATATATTCATTAAGAAAGATTTAATTAAACAAATGTCAACCACTTTCAAAGAATTTTTATTATTTTATCGAGAGGATTATTACTGGAGAAATTCTCATCAATTAAATGGAGAAGCTTCTGCCCTTAGTACTAACCATTTGGTTAAAATAGTGGCGGGTGTACCAAATGATTTTTCTCTTCCTATTCTTTTTTCTTCCATCATTATTATCATGTTGGCTGTATCTGATTCCTGTGTATTTGTAACAAACTATTTTTAAGGCATTATTATAAACGCTACAATACTTTTTGAAAACCTCTCTGTTTGAAGAGTTATTCCTAATCCTATATTATATGAAGAATTGGTATATTTTAAAATTACAGATGGAGGATGTTTAGAGAATATATATTGGGATGCCA